ACCCATCTTGAGGAGTTTGCCCCCTCACATATACTAATGTGCCACAAACAGGACTTTAATATCACCAACCATTCCCATTTTATTACAGTGTATCCATATAAATGGCCCACCCTGTACATATACATATATGTATTTCTTCTACATAAAATGAAAAGTATTCTACTTTCACATAGAAATAATTTTCATACAGTTTCTTCTTGGGGGCTAATTCAATTAACTTAGAAGGAAAAAACTTCATTCAGAGGGGGTGTTACTAAAAAAATGATAAGGTTTAGACTGTGAGCCAGCCAAGTAGATGAATTAAATGCTTTTATTTCGCAACTTCATTCATAGCACTGTTGGTAAACCCTTAAGCTACACTGGAAGCAATGACCAGAAACCAAAGATGGTGTCTAGAAAGCAAAAAAAGCGAATGATATTCCATGACTTCAAGCGACTACAGATGAAATACCCGTGGATGCCACAAAGTGGACAAGCATAGAAATAAACCTTTCTGGTGTCCATTCTTCTCACAGAACAAAGGATACCATAAGTTGAATACGAGTGTGAGAAAACACCTTATTTCAAGCAAATATCTGAGCTGCTGGAGAGAGTTTAAAAGGGGAAGAAAAATTGACAACATATTTAAACAGATTGTGAAAACAATCCCATCTGTCGCCTTTGGCTCAGCACCACTTGCCAGATGGAGCACTTATCATTAAGAATGTTAACTGCAAGATTGCTGCCAATTGGCTCCTTCATAGTTCCTTTTCTCCTGTGAGTGAAGCACCAAATAAAAGGCTTGACATTATTTAATAATTTTTGTATTAAAGTAGTGCCAGTTAAAGTAATCTATAAACCCAGGGAGAACAGAGTGTAGCTGGATCAGCTGAAAAATGTTCAGCCACATAGCATAGCTACTCTCAGGCTCTGCTCAGGTGAGGAAATTAAAAATGTGGGCAGTTCATACGTCCCAGGCAAAATCAATCTTTAATTAAGTACATCAGTGCATCTTTAAGAAGCATGAATTATTGCACAGGATTAGAAAAATTAACAGAGCATAAGAAGACACGCTAATTTCAATTTGCCACCTTTTTTCATTTGTCCACCTTTTTCCATAACTCAGGTAAAATTTAGGTGAAGGCGTCATTACAACAGCTTCAGTGTTCTATTTCTAACTTAAAGAACAACTGACTGTTCTTTAAGTTATACTTTGTAATTATAAATATACACTGATTGGTTTGTAATTAGGCCTTCCAACAAATTAATGTATTCTCTCAAAACTAAAGTTTCTCCATTACAAACACAGGAGAGATCTTGGTTTGTGAAGCTGCCATGTTGCCCTGACTTCTTAAACATAGTGGCTGAGATAGACACCACAGTGACACCTAATTTTTTATCTGTTTGGCTAGAGACTAGCAACAAACGTAGTATGCCAAAGACAAAGGAGAAGAGAACTCATAGGTTTTCGCAACGCAAATATTAATTTGTGTCTGCACCTTCGACTCATGATATGAAGGATCATTTATCACCAAGGAAGGGGTCCCCTTCACCAAATAAGCAAAAATGTAAAGGAAAGAGGCAGCATGACTGTTGTTTTGTATTAACCGGTGTCACAGATTAACTAGTGTTGATCATGTTGTAGAATTGCTTCTCAGGAGCCACTACCAACAAAGCAGGAATGTGGTGAATACTTTGTCTTTACAAATGTGTGATGAACCGAAGATTTGAACCAAAATTTTGATTCATCAGTCCATAAAACCTTCCA